AATGCATGCCTCTGTGCTCAGAGCAGAGGGTACAGGGCTGGGACTTGGGTGCCCACCGGCAGGGCCAGGGTGCTGCCCGCTGGCTCTGGCAGAGTCCGGAGGGGAGTAGCAGGCACAGGTCAGATGCAGGGCCATGGCCACCTCACCAAGGTCTGGGACGGGGCACTGCCTGCAGCGAGGGCTCCCCCTCCTGACCTCACATGGCCCGGGCGGTGGGCACTGTACATCCCTGATGCAGACAGTTACTGTGAGACAGGCTCACCTGTCCCAACTCAAATAGGGACTCGGAGACAGAAGTGCGGTGAAAGCGAGACCTTGAATGCGCTCTGGAGAGCGGGTGTCCGCCCATTGCACAGGCTCACCTGGGGCGGGAACACAGCCCACTTAATCGGCCTCCTCCGGTTCCTCATTGGCTGCGTGCTATGGGCTCAGCTGTTTCCTGACACGTCGATTCGGTCCTCCCATTGGGCCATTTAATAAAATTGGGCTGAGGCCTTTTCTAGTTGCTCCCCCTCCCCCTGTCTAGCTGAGGCCGGTGCCTGGAGGGTCTCCACCATGATGCCGGCCCACACCCACAGGGCCTTGGTCTCCCATCCTCGTCCCTCCGCCACCCTTCTCTGTGCCTGGGGGGGTGTGCATGGCAGGGGCAGCTCAGGGCACAGCCGGCCACCCTGATGCACACGGTCCAGTGTTTCCCTGGCCAGGTGGTGGGAACAGCGGGCAGTGTGGGTGGTGTTCCTCCCGCCCTCCCTGCCCCGTCGTTCCACCTCCCCCACGAGAGGATCCAAGCGCCCACCTCCCCATGGCAGAACCACAGCTCAGCCCTGGATAGCGAGGGCAGCCAGCCAGGGCAGCGGGCTCTCAGGGCTCCAGCCCGTCTACCCTTCAGGACTAGTGAGTCTAACCTGGTCACAGCCCGAGAGGAGGACCTCAGACCTTACAGCCCTGGGTTCCTCTGGGCCAGCGGGGAGGGGGCAGGAATCAGCACGTCTATCCTGCAAACCCGCACTCACCTGGGACTCCTCAGACCACGTGCGGGCAGGCGAGGGGGGCGGCCCAGCGCCTGGTCCTGGGTGAAATGAGGCCTGTGAAGAGCAGCAGCTCCTGGTTCCCGGGGCCCAGCTGTCGCCTTAAATGAGCTGCATCACAAATCCTTCCCCGGACACAGCGCCGCCAGAGAGGCCTTCCCAGGACGGGTTCCCCGAGGGTTCCAATCCGGTAAAGGAAGGCCCGGCCCTGAAGAACAGAATGTAAAGTTCCCGACAGAGGCCCCTGGCCAGTGCTCCCCGCCTCGCTTTCCCCAGTGGCAGCTGTGATCTGTCTACACTCCATCACTTAGTGCAGGTGGGTTCCGTTCTGGACTTGAAATCTACCAAATCCTCCTGGTGGGCAGCAGAAACCACAGGCCCAGCCAAACTCCTCCCTCTTCCGCCAAAGGAAGGCAGCCCCGTCCTGGGTCAGGAGGTGGTCCTCACAGCTGTTACTTTTTAAGAATTGGGGTAAGGGGGTGGATAAGAGATCAAGCAAAGGGCTTGTATGCAGGCATATATGCATAACCCAAGGACACTGGCAGTAGGGGGGCGGGGACGTGCTGGGGGACAGGGGTGGCTGGGGAGACGTCAGTGGCGGAAATGGGAGACGTATGTAATACTTTCAACAATGAAGTATTTAAATTTTAAAAAATTGGAGTGAAATATACATAACATGAAGTGTGCCTAGCCGGCACGGCCAGGGGTGAACTGGGGGCGGTGAAGGACGGAGGAAAGACGGACGAGAGAAGAAAGCTGGGGCTGGGTGGGACACGGTCCTCTCGGATGGAGAGACAGCGCCACGGCCTGCAAGCCGAGTTTTTTATCGGATTCCACGAGGCAAAGCAAGGGCGTGGTTACAATTCGCGGTTACAATCCACTCAGTTACACGCACCTGGTCAAGCTTTGTTGACTTGCTGCACCTCCGCAGCCCACATCACTCAGCCACGTGGGACCACAGGTTCGGACCATAAGGGCAAGCTCACAGCCACAGCCTTTGGCCATCATTGTGCTGGGTTTGCCCGTGGCTTTCCCTCGAGAGGATCTGCCCTCTCACTGGTCCCAGGCTTGAACCTGTCCGAACGCTATAGCCCAGTGACGGCGAACCTTTTGAGCTCGGCGTGTCAGCATTTTGAAAAACCCTAACTTAACTCTGGTGCCGTGTCACATAGAGAAATTTTTGATATTTGCAACCCTAGTAAAACAAAGACTTATATTTTTGATATTTATTTTATATATTTAAATGCCATTTACCAAAGAAAAACCAACCAAAGAAATGAGTTCGTGTGTCACCTCTGACACGCGTGTCATAAGTTCGCCATCACTGCTCTAGCCGCTCTCCACAATAAAGCACCCTGGTTTAACTTCTAAGGTGACATTCATTGCAGTCGCACTATTGTGCAACCACCCCCACTATTTCCAAGTCTTCCCATCACCCCAAACAGAAACTCTGTACCCATTCAGCAGCATCTCCCCTCCTCCAACTCCTGCTAGCCTATTCTATTTCCTCTCAATTTGTCTATTCTAGATATTTCTATTTTTTATTGGATTTATTTTTCTTATATTTTTATTCATTTCAGAAAGGAAGGTAGAGGGAGTGATAGAAACATAAATGATGAGAGAGAATCATGGACTGGCTGCCTCCTACACGCCCCCTACTGGGGATGGAGCCCGCAACCCGAGCCTGTGCCCTGACAAAACCGTGACTGCCTGGTTCATAGGTTGATGCCGCTGAGCCACGCTGGCTGGGCTATTGATTTTTTGGGGGGGTGGGAGGGCAGGGAGTGAGAGAGAGACAGGGGGTTGAACCCACAATCCAGGTGTATGTCCTGACTGGGAATTGAACCCACGACCTTTTGGTGAGTGGGATGATGCTCCCTCCAACGCAGCCACCCGGCCAGGCATAGACACCCGCTGAACGTGGAATCCTGTTTTCCGGGGACGGCCCTGTTGTCGTGGGGATCAGACGCCACTCCTTTTTGTGGCTGAGTGACACCCCGTGTACGGTGTTTGATGCAGAATCGCGCCTGTGCTCTCAGAGCCTTATTAACGCCGCCCGCAGGGCCCTGAGGACGGAGCCTGGTCAGGCCTTTCCGAGTCTGAATTTCTTTCCCTGGAACGCGGCTGGTCTCCCGCGCCTGTCAGTTGCGGAGCAGCGGGGGCTGAGCACCACGGGCGGGAGTCTGAGGGCCGAGGGTGCAGCCCGTCCCTGTGGTAACTCCCCAGCGAAGCCTGCATCGCTTGTGGTGTGCGGTCCCTGCTCCTGTCCTCTGGTCTGTGGTCAGCGTGTGACCCGCCCAAGACCTTGTCACCTGGTCAGGTGCAGCGGCACGGCCGCGTCCGGGCACCCCGGCTGCTGTGTGTGATGAGGTGCGAGAGCCCCGCATTTGGTGATTCTGGTAGGTGCCCCGCCCAGCTTAATGGCTGTCTCCTGGAGCGATGACCCCTGGAGCTTCTTACTCCATTTCCTGTCTCACTTTGCCTATTCTAGATATTTCTTTTCTTTTTTAATTGATTTTTTTTTTTTAGAGAGGGAGGGAGGGAAAGAAGCATCGATGGGAGAGAGACAGGGGATCACCAGTGTCATTTGTAAAGACACCCATATTTCAGAGGTGGTCGCTGTGCCCTGGGAAAGCCCCTCGCCCTCTCCCACCAGGGGTCCTGAGGGTTCGGTCTCAGCTCGCTGCCCAGTTCATGATGCCCCAGTCACCACACACCCTGTGGAAGGTGGAACGGGGGTGCGGGTTGGGGGGGGAGTGTCTGTGGGAGCCAGAGACGGCCGCCCGTCTGCTTCCTGCAGAGAAGCTGACAGCCCCCGACAGCTTCTTGTCTGAACACAGATCGGGCGACTGCGTGTCGTTTCAAGGAGCACAGACGTGTCTGGCCAGCCTGGCTCAGTGGTTGAGTATTGATCTGCGAACCGGGAGGTCACAGTTTACTAGCAGGTTTGGCTCAGTGGATAGAGCATTGGGCTGTGGACTGAAGCATCCTGGGTTTGAATCTGGTCAAGCGCACATGCCCAGGCTGCTGGGTCAATCCCCAGGAGAAGGTGTGTAGGAAGCAGCTGATCAATGATTCTCTCTCATCATTGATGTTTCTATCTCTCTCTCTTTCCCCTCTCTCTTCCTCTCTGAAATCAATAAAAATACATTTTTTAACAAATAAAGGGGCACAGATGAAAGAACAAAAGCGCCACCTCCAGGGCTATCGTAGAAACAGGGTTTTAATATAATATCCAAGTCTAGCATTTGCTATTTACAACAAATAAATATTGCCCCTCCCCAACTGGTAAACATGATTTTCGCCTTTTATACAAATATCCACCCCCTCCTTTCCCCCCAGTCCTCCTTTCCCCCGGCCCGCCCGTGTGGTCCCGAGAAGCAGGGAGGCAGTGGCGAATGGCACTCAGGCCGCGGCGCCGGGGGGCTCGCGGGCCTGGTCCTCACTCACAGGTGAGGAGGGTCCCTCCTCTCCGAGGGGGGCCGGGCTCGCGTGCGGGACTCCCGCACTCCATGGCCTGACGGTGGATCTTTGGTGCAGCCTGCGGAAGGCTCGAGTGGTGGAGGGGCCGGGCCCCGTGAATGGCACGGCCAGTGTCCGTGGGCGCGAGGAGAGAACCGCAGTGGTCAGATCCAGTGGATGAGCGGATGCC